CACGCTGGACGACAGCTTACTTCGTAACCATAGAACATCATCATTATTATCATCATTATTATTATTATCCTAACTCATCAAACAACAGGTCCTGTACAGGTTGTCGCGGTCGTCACAGCACTCCTGAAAGTCTCTCTTTCTCTAGCAAATTATCCAGCCCTAGGTGCTTTCATATTATCGTGTTCTCTCCACTTCCCAGATGACAGCACGTGACACCAGTACGTTTTCAGTGATTTCTTCGAAACTTCATTTTCGTTTTCCCCATAGGGTATGCCCAACTATGTCGGAACTCGTACCAGTTCATAGCGTGGCTTCGATCACTGGACCCCCAGATACCGTTAATGTTGACGAAACCCCCTGTCAGGGGAAACCACCAGCCCGCCGCTTTATTGTTTATGTCGGCAACTGACGAATAGCCATGATCATAGGTGGAGAAACCTTGCCCGACACACGGCGATAACCCCAAGCCGCCATCATCAGCTCCGCCACTGATGTTCAGGATATAACTATCCCCAGGTCCAATCGAGAACAGCGGATAAGTTTTCGTGTAGGTTGTAGGGGTGGAGTATTCTTGGAGGTTCACTTGCAGCTGGTTGTCATCGTTATTCTGAAGCAGCAGACGACGCAAATTCTCCAGACCCAGCCAGAACTCGCCGTAAGCATTGCCAAAACCATTTCTGTATTCAGTAAAACCGCGATAGAAGCTGATACTCCCATCAAAACGTTTCTGGAACACTGTCCAGACCTCTTGCGAGCTGATCACTTCACATAAAACCGCAACTGTTCCTAGTCCGTCGTCTGGCTGCACGATGATTACATTTTGACCAACTGGCAGACTGGCCTCTTCGCAGCTTCTTGGGAACATTGATTTTGGTGTTGTGAGGGGATTTGTCGTTGTTTGTGAAGTTGTTGGATCCAGTGTGGTTGTCTGTGCAGTACTGTTGGTCTGAGCCTTTGGGGTGGTCTGTGCAGTTGTGATTGTCTGAGCAGTTTTGGTTGTTTCTCGAGATTTAGTTGTTTGTGCAGTTGGGATTGTCTGTAGACTTGTAGTTGTCTGTGCAGTGGTAGTTGTCTGTGCAGTTGTAGTTGCCTGTGCAGTTGTAGTTGTCTGTGCAGTTGTAGTTGTCTGTGCAGTTGTAGTTGCCTGTGCAGTTGTTGCTGACGATGTGTTTGAGAGTCTGTCTCTATCTTCCTGACAGCGGTTCAGCTCCTTCTGCACGTCGTACATCTCAAAAAGACGCTGGATGAGTTCATCGGAGTCAGGGACTTCCAAAGACACATTGACGTGTTTGCTGAAGAAGACCGGATCCCCACTGATCCCGACCCCAGACCCCTCACAGATATACTCAGCAGCCATGTCCGCTGTGGGGTATTCTAAAACCGCTCTTAAGAAAGTATTTTTTCCACCCAAGGAGCCATTCGCAAAACCGACGCCAGATCCTTCATAGACAGGAATACCAGTGAGAGAGTTGATCTCTGCTAGTATTTGCTCATGTCATTTCTGGTAATGATAATCTCTAGAGATGCCAGTTTGGATATATTAATCGCTGCAGGGTCAGGAATGTAACAGATGGCTTCCAACTCTATCGTCAGCCCAACCCGAAGAACTTCTGGGGTTGTTCCAAAACAAGGGCACATCGTGTTTTACCTGAACAGATATTCCTGGGTCAAGGTTAGCGGGACGAAGTCTTCATCTTCCCCATTTAGATCACAGATATAGTCTCCGTCGATATTAGCTCCAGAGCGGCTCCAGGTTATCTGCAGGTAACCTCCAACGTCCTCATTGGAGAGTGTGCCAGTCACCAGGGCGTCGTTGACGTGAGAAACTGGATCGTTGTGACCATAGTGGGAAGATATCGAGGCTAGGATCTGGCGTTTACCTGCAACATTTCTGAAGATGATGAGACTTTCAAGGTGGGAGAATCTGGTAGATCGAAGGTCGCCCACGGAACACAGGAGGTTGATCCCATGGAAAGTCTGGTCAACTTTGAAATCTAGCTGGCATTCTTATGGACAGAAATGAAATGTTATAATATAATATGGATAAATACTATAATGTGGCTATGTAATTTGTATATATATATATATATATATATATATATATATATATATATATATATATATATATATACAGTATTGTATGGAATATTTCTTTTGTCGTCTCATTGATACCAGGTTGTAGCCCAGTGTCGTGGTTTTATGGTCTCACTGATACCAGGTTGTAGCCCAGTGTTGTGGTTTCGTCGTCTCAATGATACCAGGTTGTAGCCCAGTGTCGTGGTTTTGTCGTCTTACTGATACCAGGTTGTAGCCCATTGTTGTGGTTTTGTCGTCTCATTGTTACCAGGTTGTAGCCCAGTGTCGTGGTTTTGTCGTCTCACTGATACCAGGTTGTAGTCCAGTGTCGTGGTTTGTCGTCTCATTGATACCAGGTTGTAGCCCAGTGTCTTGGTTTTGTCGTCTCATTGATACCAGGTTGTAGCCCAGTGTTGTGGTTTTATGGTCTCAATGATACCAGGTTGTAGCCCAGAGTTGTGGTTTTGTCGTCTCATTGATACCAGGTTGTAGCCCAGTGTCGTGGTTTTATGGTCTCAATGATACCAGGTTGTAGCCCAGAGTTGTGGTTTTGTCGTCTCATTGATACCAGGTTGTAGCCCAGTGTCGTGGTTTTGTCGTCTTACTGATACCAGGTTGTAGCCCTTTGTTGTGGTTTTGTCGTCTCATTGTTACCAGGTTGTAGCCCAGTGTCGTGGTTTTGTCGTCTCACTGATACCAGATTGTAGCCCAGTGTCGTGGTTTTGTCGTCTCATTGATACCAGGTTGTAGCCCAGTGTTGTGGTTTTGTCGTCTCATTGATACCAGGTTGTAGCCAAGTGTTGTGGTTTTCTGTATTAGTCTTGTGCCTCTCGGTGGCTTGGGTAATGGATTTATTTATCGTTTCTTTTTTTTTTTTTTTTTTTTTTTTTTTTGCCAGGTTTTCGCTATACCACGTATTTACCTCTTCCTTGATCTTCCCCTTGCCTTTGCTTTCCTTCCAGATGTTCTGCTGTACAAAATCTCATATTCAGTTTGGTCTGGCTGCATTTTCACTAGTTGGCTGAACCATTTAATTCTTTGTTTGTCAATATAATCCAGACATGGTTTTATTCCAACTGTCTCTCTAATGCGGGTATTCGTAACCCTGTCTCATTTTGTGTAGTTAGCGACCATAGGGAGTAGTTATTGTTTTGCTCTAGTGCCATGTTCATTATCAAAGTTTATTATAAGGACAATATTAATTTGCAAACATAAAGCGAAAATGTAGTATGGACAAATTATTGTAATGTAACATTCTCAAGTACACAGCTATTGTGACGTGGCCAGATAACATGTATGCATACTGAACTTTGTGACTGTCACAAATACATTTGTAGTAGTAATCATGAATGTCCCCAGCCTTCTGTCTCGTGTACTGTCAATCCTTTCTGACCCAGGTGAGTTTCCTTACCATAATCAAAACTGTCAGTTATTTGTTTCTTGGTCTCCCTCTGCCTTTCTTTCCCTTAAGCTTTCCGTTATTATGTCGTACTTCTGTTTTCTCCTTTTCACCACCTGCCTTAAAAATCTAGACATAAAAGTGGCAAATACAGAAAGTTAAGATTAGTTTTAGCACTATAATTTTAATTCACCCCAAACAAAGGGAACCCGGGAATTCCAAGGAAAGTCCAGTATTATAGGGATGTTATTATTTGGTGGGACAATACGAAAAGATTGCCTGCATGCACTGGCTCACACAAAAAAAACTTATCGTTTTTATCAGTCCTGACGGCCTCAGACGCACAAACCTACTAACCCTAACGTTAATATTGGACTTTCGCAGGAACTCCCACATTTTTTTTCGGTTTTGTTTTTGTTTGTTTGTTTGAGGTGAGTTGGCATTAAAGTACTTTATTGCTTCTATTGTAAACAGGACGGTCGGACTGTCTCTTGCCTCCATCCCGTCTATCTTGTGCAATACTTTCCATATCGTGTCCGCAGTCTGGTCTGACACCTCTGATCTGTCGTGTCCCCAGTCTGGTCTGACAACTCTGATCTGTCGTGTCCCCAGTCTGGTCTGACAACTCTGATCTGTCGTGTCCGCAGTCTGGTCTGACAACTCTGATCTGTCGTGTCCCCAGTCTGGTCTGACAACTCTGATCTGTCGTGTCCCCAGTCTGGTCTGGCAACTCTGATCTTTCGCGTCGACCTGAAACCTGTTGAATGTCGTGGTTTTCTCGCTTCATTTGTATGAAGTCATTTAAAAAAAAATAATTGGTCCTAGTTTAAATTAAAGTAGTACAGTTGTAAGCACATACCTGTCAGCTAGATGACACAACATAAGACTACCACAGCAGTACAGCTGTAAGCACATACCTGTCAGCTAGATGACACAACAATGTACTCACTACCCATAGACCAGGAGGGAATTACTGGAAGTATAAGTCCGCGTGAAAAAATCCCCAGTAGAGTTGTAAGCACATACCTGTCAGCGAAATGACACAACATAAGACTACCACAGCAGTAGAGCTGTAAGACCATACCTGTCAGCTAGATGACACAAGACTACCACAGTAGTACAGTTGTAAGCACATACCTGTCAGTGAAATGACGCAACATAAGACTACTACAGCATCCAGTAAGCTCTGTGCACGTCGTACATGCACCATAATCGGAGTTATTCTCAGTCTGGTCACTCTTGTATATCTGCTGAATATATTTTAGTCGCAGTTTTTGCCAATACCGCTGATTGTTCTATCTTCATCTAGCACGCCGACTTCTAGAATCTCAACATTTGTGCATACAGTGGAAACAATTATTTTTCCTATGATCCAGGTTAACATCTATAACAACCCACAAGCTGAAAAAATAAAAAAAAAAAATAAAAAAGGCTACAGTGTAACCGACTTAAATACTGCTATTATCTCAAACATGTAGTATGTTTTTTAATTGACAGGTAGCTGTAACTTACTAACACCTGTGTTATCTTAATGACCGGAAATAAGAACAGATATCTTATCCCCGTTCTGTGAATTGTTTCAGGATTGTGATACTTGGCTTGGAAAAGGCGCACAAGTGTCTGCAGGTATCTCAGTTTTTTTTAAAGCATTTTTGATCTTTGCGATCCGGTTTTAAACATGCTGGTGATTTCTTTGGCAAAGTCTGTCTTCATCTAGCTCTACGTCATGGGGGAGTTGATCTAACTTTTCAGAAAGGATAATATCAAGGTTAAAAGTAAAGAAAGTAAAGATCCCTTTTCACGCCTTTAGGCGCATCGGGTATATGGGAAGAGCGTCCCATGTTTTTACAGACCAATCGGCACTGGATGGGTAATGTGGTCAGCATTACGCCAGCCGTCTTTACTTTAACAGGACAGCCCATCCTGGTACCCATTTTAGGCTGGGTCGACCTGCGACGCCCCATACCATGATAAAAATCCACGCAGCCAGCAGTGGGTTTCGATCGCGGTACGTTGGATTGCCAGTCGGACTCGCAATGCCTAAGCCACGGACGCCAATATCAAGGGGGTATGGAAATAGTTGTAAATTTCAACAGATGATCCAAAGATGAGTCAAGACATCCAACCACAACATAGTGATTGTGCACAACAATAAGCTTGTTTACTAAGACGCAATGTCCCTGTGGGTTCCGGGATCCCATTGTGGGGGGAAACTTCAGTAGACCCACTGCCTTTCCAACAAGCATGTCGTAGGAGTCGACTAACTGGCCGCTTCCTTCGAAGTCGTAGTGCATTTGCCCGAGCGGCAAGGAACGACTAACGCACACAAATCAGCCGGTAAAAGAGGATGTACGCGCAAAACTCAGGTCCAGCCACAAAAGTCCAAACGGACGGACAGCCAGGGCTTTCCTCTCTGAGTCCAAAGGAACGCATCATACGTTCATAGCTTCCTACCTAGAAGCCCAATAAACGCATGAGGCGCCGATTTTATGACTTTATTTACGATCCCCTGGGCGTGTGATGCTAAACCCCCTGGGACTCGAAGAGTTACAGCCGGTGAATAAAGAAGAAAAAGAAGCAGAACAGACAAACGCACAACTAAAGGTTGACCCCGCAAGGGATGGCCAGATGGAATATCTGAGGCCCTAAATACCAGAAAATCTCGTTAAAAAAAACACACTGCGGTCGGACCTGTTTTAAAACTGACACCTAAGGGTTGAACAGGATCTAGTTCTATGTTAAGTTAGTTGCGTTTCCTTTACAGGACGTTGCCCTGGCTGTTGTGTGGTTTTTCGAGGCAAATTTACGTCCAGTAGTTTGCCATTGCTTACTGGACGGTCAGCTTTCTTGATACCACTGTTGAAACCAAAGCAAGGCGCTTG